TGAATCAGGGCTCAGAAACCTCCTGGGTGGTGGTGGTGGTGGTGGGGTGGGTTTCGCTAAAGCAGATTCTGTGGGCATCCTGCTTCATGGAGCAGCAAGGCAGAAAAAGACAGAGACCGGTCACCTCTCCTAGTCCTCAGCAGCCACAATTAATGGGTGACTATGTTTTTTTATTGCCGTAGTGGCACCTCTCTGTAATTGTCCCACAAGGCACTGTAGACAGTACTTTGGTTTGCCACCAGCAGTAAAACAAATAACAATCCATTCACCCATCAATATACAGAGTCTTTTTAAACTATTGTTGATATGTTTGCTTCATTCAGGTCAAACGTGTTTGGTGTGGAAAATATCTGGTTCAAGGGAAAACTACTAATGAGGTTAGGAAAAGGGATTCTAGATTTAAGGCTACGTTCTTTCCTGAAGGAAGGTAATTATTGTGGAAAATAGTTCTGATGATGTCATTATAATATTCATCTGAGACACCTTAGAGGAAAGGGAATCTCAGTCATAATACAGATTAAATATTTAACAGAGGGATTCATGAAGCAGAAGTCATATGCTTTGATGTTCATATTCTGTCTTGTTCAAGTTCTTATTTTCATGTGACTGCCATGTTATTTCTACAGCCACAACAAAAATGGAAAATCAGATCAATCCAAGCTTTTATTTTTATATTTAAAGAGACAGTATTGTGTGTTTTCCAGAGATGTAGTGCCACTTTGTAAAATAATCAACTATTTTACAAACTTATCTTTGGTTGTTGTAAAAGGGCTACAGAGAGAAATTTCACTTCCTAATTTAATGCCTTGAAATTAGGCCTCTGTCTCTTTAAAAACTCCTCCTCTTTCTGAAGCTCCGCCTTCTGGCCGTGCCAGCGTTCAAATCTTTCTGAAGCTCTGCCTTCAAAAAGTCATCACAACATTGCTCCTCTTTTAACCCTTTAACAATGTTTTTTTTTTTTTTTTTTGGGGGGGGGGGGGGGGGGTCCCGGGGGTGTGAGCACCC